TTTATTAATGTAGTTATAGTTACAGTTGGTTTAGTATTAGATTGTCAATTTTTACCATAATCGAAGTAAAAATTTCTATTGTAGAACTTGCTATTCAGTGATCACAGTATGTGATCGCAGTTGAGTTTATTGCATTAGAATTATCATTATGGTTAATTACACGTTCTTTTGAAACACAATCATTAAGGTGAATAGAATTAAACTTCATACTCACTTTGGTAATTTATTCAACTTTTGAATAATTACAGTTAATCAATCTTTTGTAACACAATCATTAGAGCGAATTGAATTAAACTTCATACTCACCCTGGTAACTTATTTGAACATTTAAATAATTATACAGTATTAATTACACGTTATCTTGAAGCACAATTGTTAAAGCGAATCGAATCGAATTAAATTTCTACTCGCCCTGGTAATTTATTGAATGATTGAATAATTATAATTAATCAATATCTTGAAACGCAATTATTAAAGCGAATCAAATTATACTTTATACTTGCTCTGATAATTTATTTGAACAATTAAATGATTACGGTTAATCACACGTTCTCTTGAAGTACAATTGTTAAAGCGAATCGAATTAAATTTTGTACTCACCCTAGTAATTTATTGAACAATTAAATAATTATGATTAATCAATATCTTGAAACACAATCTTTAAAGCAAATCGAATTATACTTTGTACTCGCTCTAATAATTTATTTGAACAATTAAATAATTATGGTTAATCACACGTTTTCTTAAAATACAATCATTAAGGCGAATCGAATTAAATTTCGTACTTACTCTGGTAATTTATTTGAACGATTGAATGATTACAGTTAATCAATATCTTGAAACACAATCATTAAAGCGAATCGAATTAAATTTCATACTTACTCTGGTAATTTATTTGAACGATTAAATAATTACAGTCAATCGTATGTTCTCTTTAAACACAATTATTAAGGTAAATAGAATTAAACTTCACACTTACTTTGGTAATTTATTCAACCTTTGAATAATTACGGTTAATCAATCTCTTGTAACACAATCATTAGAGTGAATTGAATTAAACTTCATAATCACCCTGGTAATTTATTTAATATTTAAATGATTATATTAATTACATGTTATTTTGAAGCACAATTCTTAAAGCGAATCGAATTAAATTTTGTACTCACCTTGGTAATTTATTGAACGATTGAATAATTATGATTAATCAATGTCTTGAAACACAATCATTAAAGTGAATTGAATTATACTTCATACTCGCTCTGATAATTTATTTGAACAATTAAATGATTATGGTTAATCACACATTCTCTTTAAGCACAATTGTTAAAGCGAATCGAATTAAATTTCATACTCACCCTGGTAATTTATTGAACGATTAATTAATCAATGTCTTGAAACACAATTGTTAAAACGAATTGAATTGTACTTCATACTTGCTTTGATAATTTATTTAAACAATTTAATGATTACAGTTAATCACACATTCTCTTGAAATACAATCGAATTAAATTTTGTACTTTGGTAATTTATTTGAATGATTGAATGATTACAGTTAATCAATATCTTGAAACACAATTATTAAAGCGAATTGAATGTGACTTTATACCCACCCTGGTAATTTATTTGAACAATTAAATAATTACAGTTAATCACATGTTCTCTTGAAACACAATTATTAAGGTAAATAGAATTAAACTTCACACTCACTTTGGTAATTTATTGAATATTTGAATGATTACAATTAATAAATGTCTTGTAATACAATCATTAGAGCAAATCGAATTTTCATACTCACTGATAATTTATTTGAACGTTTAAACGATTACAGTTAATTACATGTTTTCTTGAAGCACAATTGTTAAAGCGAATCAAATTAAATTTTGTACTCACGCTGGTTATTTATTTGAATGATTGATTAATCAATATTTTGAAACACAATCATTAAAGCAGATCAATTAAACTTTGTACTCACTCTGGTAATTTATTTGAACGATCAAATAATTGCAGTTTAATATTTTTTTGGAATACAATTGTTAAAACGAATCGAACTGAACTTCTCACCCTGGTAATTTATTTGAATGATTGAATGATTGCAGTTAATCTATTTCTTGAAACACAATCGTTAAAGTTAATTAAATTAAATTTTGTAATCACTCTGGTACTTTATTTAAACGATTAAATAATTACAGTTAAAAGCAAAATTATATCACCCTGATAATTTATTGAGCAATTGAAATGATTATGGTTAATCATACGTTCTCTTAAAACACAGTTGTTAAGGCGAATTGAATTAAACTTCGTACTCACCTTGGTAATTTATTGAACAATTGAATAACTTATTGCATGCCGATGTGCGCCATCAATTGGCATTAATCGGGATTGTCTATTTTATAAACTTGCATAAATCGGGTTGCTGCATCATTTTGCATCAATTGGCGATATGGCGAATTTACAATTTAATATCAATCGGGCATAAATCAGTTTAAAATAAGACATATGCCCGATTGTTCATATTCTGACTAGTGCAAAGACGGGCAAATGATATCCTTTTTAGAAAAAGTCAACTCATTTAAGAGATAAAAGCAAAAAACACCAAAATAGACCAAAAAGCAATTTTTTCACCATCTTACAAAAGCAGTTTTAAGGACTGTTTAAACTTGTTTAATATTTTTCAAATTAATAACAATACTCTATGCAAAAATCCTATTAAGCAAGGCCTACTAAGCTCACTTAAGCCCAGAACTCACTCTAAACCTATGGCTTCTGATAGCTTCTTTTCTAGTTGAAGATATTATTCTCCCTTCTATAGACAGGCAAACCCCAAAAATACTCTTATTCAAGAAGAGCTCACAACTCCAGAATCAGACCACATCAAAAAATTTGTTAATATCACTATTAAAGACTGGACCAAACTCATCTTTACTGTCAGCTTCTCTATTCTGGAGTATGATAACAAATTTTTGTTCTATGTAAATATTATTAAATTAGAAAAGATCTTTAATTTGGTTGAATATCTAGCCCAATTGATATGAAAACATAATGATCCCAACAAATTGGTTCTATTTGACCTTATCTTTTTATTATAAAATTATTATCTGTTATGAGTTTCTCTTACATTTTTGCCAATCATTTTGCATGTATAAAAATAAAATAATATAAATAGTCACAGATAATATATTATAAGAAATTTAAAATATTAACATGCTTTATCCAGTTTTGGAAAATGCTAATTCAAATTTGATAAGTATTAGTTAGCCATTACTATTTATAGCTCTAAATTTATATTCAAAAACTAAATTTATGAAAAATTCAAAAGCATAATCTAGATGATCATATATTTTAAGATGATAATAATATAAGTTTTTGATCTTGCTTATTCTGATTCTTTAAAAAAGTCTTATTTAAGTAATAATTTTCATTTGTTTATTTTTGGAAAGAATTATGATATTAGATATCGATCTATTTAAATCTGTAATTATTGCAATATATTTATAATAGTTATCATAATTCATATTAATGTAAATGATTAATATATTTATTTTTTAAAAAAAATTAACTTTTGATTATTACATATATTTTTGCAACTTTGAAACTTAAAAATTAACTTCTGGTCATTATGTATACATTGTAATATTGAAATTAGATTGAGATATGGATAATATTAATAGCATATATTAGTGAGTCACATACTGTATATTGCCAGAATAGTAAGGGTTATAACAGTAACTCATAATAGAATCTATAGAAATTTCAATACAACCTTAACTACAAATTGTGATTATTAGAATAACTAGCAAGATTTTTTTACAGTAATTTTTGATAAAAGCCACAATAATTTTAATACAAACTCAACCTTAAAATGGATTATCTGTTAGGTAAGTTTGTAACAAAATTTTTTATAATAATTCATAATAGAAATTACAATAACTTTAATACAAACACAGGTTGAATGATTCTATACTAGTTAACTATCAGGTTCCCAATAGATCTCCTATTTTTGTATTATAGAAATATGCTAGTTTACTTGTAAAGCTTGCCTAAGAGTGTTCGATTTGTCTCTGATTGTAAACAGATCTTTGGCACAGATAGGGCACCATTTGGTAATATATATGGTGCAAATCATACTAATATTGGTTACTCAATTGGTGTCTTATTTATAACTATATTACAGGAAACCCGGATATATATCAATAAGCTTTACAATACCTATCGGTTATCCCAATTTGTATTCAAATAGCCTGATAGGTATTCTATTGTTTCCAATATTGCACAAAATTGGTTATCTATAATAATTAATTCAAAAGCAATCAGGTATCCAATTGCTAATAACAGTAATTGTAATTTATAATTTTTTTTTATTATAAAAAACATTATATTTTAACATAACACACAAAGCTACAATTAATAATTAAAAAGAAAGAAATCAAAAAACGTCAAAAGACTACTCTAACAACAAAAAAAAAACACTGGAATAGACAACTCTATCAAGAAAAATAATCTAAATAAAACATGTAAATAACCAAAAAACTACATGACAGCAATAAAGAAAACTAAACTGGATGACTCCAATGATGAATTCTGACAAAGAAAAAGAATATAAAAACTGAAAGTATTAAAGTTTAGCCTAAAAAAACTTTAAACGAATTGAAAACGGATGAAACCCACAACAGCAAAGAAGCACCATACTGGACAATTTTAACGACACCGGAATAGACGACTTCAATGACGAGTTTTGACAAAGAAAAAGAAACTAAAAGACTAAAAATATTAATACTCTAATAAAAAAAAATTCAAACAAAAAAAAAAACTTGAAACAAAATCGAAAAGTGAAGGACCAAAAAAACTACGCAACGATAATAAAGAAAGAACAACTCTAATGATGAAGCACCAGAATAGATGACTCCAACGATGGCTCTAACAAAGAAAAAGAAACTAAAAGAAAATATTAATACTCTAACAAAAAAAATTCAAACAAAAAAAAAACTTAATCCAAAATCGAAATGAAAAAACTACGTGACAACAATGAAGAAAGAACAACTTTAATGACAAAGTACCAGAATGGATGACTCCAACAATGGCTTTAACAAAGAAAAAGAAACTAAAAGAAAATATTAATACATGATTTTTCGACCTATTTCGTTTTTTAACCAATCAAATTCGTCTAAATACTAATCAAATTCATGTTTTAATCAAATTAGTATATTTTGATCTATCGTTGATAACTCGTTATCTAGTGGTCTAAATTTGATAAAATTGGTACCATTCGAATCCTCTTATAGAGAGGATTCGAATGGTACCAATTTTATCAAATTTGAATTACTAGATAACGAGTTATCAATAATAGATCAAAATATACTAATTTAATTAAAACACGAATTTGATTAGTATTTAAACGAATTTGATTGGTTAAAAAATGAAATAGGTTGAAAAATCCTGTACTCTAACAAAAAAAATTCAACAAAAAAAAAACTTGACAAAATCAAAATGTGAAGGACTGAAAAAACTACGCGATGACAATGAAGAAAGAATAACTCCAATGATGAAACACCAGAATGGACAACTTCAACGATGGCTCTAACAAAAAAAAAGAAACTAAAAGAAAATATTAATACTCTAACAAAAAAAATTCAAATGAAAAAAAAAACTTGAAACAAATCGAAACAAAAAAACTACAACAACAATAAAGAAAGAACAACTCCAACGACAAAGCACCAGAATGGATAACTCCAATAACGGCTCTAACAAAGAAAAAGAAACTAAAAAAAAATATTAATACTCTAACAAAAAAATTCAAACAAAAAAAAAAACTTGACAAAATCAAAATATAAAGGACCGAAAAACTACATAACGACAATAAAGAAAGAACGACTTAAATGACAAAGCACCGGAATGGACAACTTCAATGATGACTCTAACAAAGAAAAAGAAACTAAAAGAAAATATTAATACTCTTAACAAAAAAATTCAATAAAAAAAAAAGCAGAAATATTTATAAGATCTCATGTAACTGGTGACATAGTTACACTTAAGTTAGATTCTATGTTAGCAGTATTACCATAGTAATTTTATTATTTTTCATGTTATACAAAGATCAATCTAAATTGATATAATACTGTAATATATGTGTAATTAAAATCAGGTAGCTAATATAAATAAAAAATTATGCATATCTCTTGTTGAATTCAAAAAATATGATATTTTCAAACCACATTTGCTAGCAAATTATTGAAAAAAATTTAAAAGGCCTTTTAACTCAAAAAATTGCAAAACACTTAGGTGTTAACAGGTCTTCTATAAGTTGGATTTTCAAAGATATGGTTGTATTGAAGAACTTCTATAGCTTTCAGAAAAACCATGTTCTTTATACATGAATGATATAAATTATCTTCAAGTTTTAATGAAAGAAAAACCTGACTAGTAAATTTGAGATGAAACTTTGGTTGGAACATAACATTAGTTTTACAAAAATTTAGAGGGCTACATACCAACTTATATACAGACTTAGATATACGCACAAAAAGATAATATTTCATTATTTATATATAATTTTATTTTATAAACCTTTAAAAATTTTATAGAAGGCTCTTTCATATTAATAGCTCTGATTCAGGCTTTTTCATATTAATAATATCCAATTTAGATCTTTTTCACTATTAATTTCTGAATCAGTTGCATTCATTTCAGACAAGTCAAATAATTTAAAAGTATTTGTTATGGAAGATAAAGATTCTTTAATTGTTAGATCTACTGTTTCACTTTGATTGTGTTGAGCATAATTTTTACCACATTTTTGACAAATATTAATTAAGCCTTGGTCTTTTAGAATTTCGACTTTAGTTGAATTTTTAGTCCAATCTTGATTGTATTTAACTTTAATATTAGCACTTATTCATGTGATATATTTACTATAAAAGCTTACAAGTTAAACACACTAAACATATTGGGCAAGTGTTCAAATGAAATTTTAATAATGTTGATATTATAATAATAAAATTATTTGTATGTAAAATTGAAAATGTAATTTAGACGTATATAGATATTATATCAATATTACAATAAATAAAATTAAACGAATTCAAAAATATATTTAATTTATAACGAAGATATTATATCAATATTACAGTAAATTAAAATTGAATAAATTCAAAAATATATTTTTATATACCGATCATGCCAAAAAATTACCGGTCAAAAATTTTTTTTGGCTAATTTTTTATAGATGTCCCAGAAATAATAAAATATTTATCAGGTTATATTAAGTTAAATCATAGCCACATCGGGCATCTGATATAACTATGATTTAAAATTAAAAAACTGGTGATATATCAAAACCCGATTTGTCTCTAGTTTTTATTCGGTCATACAGTACCCGATATGACCTGATATGGCTTTATTTGACCTGTAAATTCAGGAACAAATAGGGTTAACTGGTAGCTTTATAGAAATGCCCGATCATTTTAATATATTTAACCGGTTTGTCTTTATTGTCTGTATATTTATCAGATAAAATTCAGAGACAATTTGGGTTAACCAGTAGCTACATAGGGTTGACTGATTTATTACCAGATATTCCCCAATAATGTTAGGGAGTATTAGTATACTTTTAGTTAAATTCCATAGTTATATTGGGTACTCAATATGTATCTGATTTAAAAAATAAAAAACCGGAAACATATCGAAACCCGATATGTCTCCAGTTTTTATCTGGCTATACAGTTTCCGATTTGGCTTCATTCGACCTGTAAAATTAATTCATCTTTTTGCTATTACTAATATAAACTACAATGGCATATTCTATAATTATATGAGTAAGTGAAGTTTGTAATAAAATTTTTTGCAACACTCATTTTAAAATCAATATTTATTAAATAAAACTCAACTATATGCTGTGTGTTATTGGAATAGTGTAAGCTCTATAAATTTTTATAGTAATTGCAATAACTATAAAAATTTCAATACAAACTAACTTAGTATTAACTATATAGAAATTAAGATAATTTTAACTATATATTGTAGTTATCAGAATAGCAAGTAAGTTCAATAATATAATTTTTACAATTATAATTTTACTTAATCATTATAATAATTTGGTTGCAAACTAACTTAATTTTAACTACAACTGCAGTTATCAGAATATCAAGCAGGTTCTATAAGAATCTTTTTTGTAGAAATTATGCCAATTTTAATACTATACTAATCTAACTTTAACTACTATGTGTTTTGTATTAGATAGTAAGTTCTGTAACAGGATTTATTAAAATAACTATAATTTAATACAAATTAATATAATCTTAACTACATAATATAGTCTATAAAATAGTAAGTATGTTTAGTAACAGGATTTTTTGCAACAATAATTCTGATACAACAGACTTAACTATAACTATCTATGTAATTACTAGAATAGAAAGATCTATGAAAGAATTATTTTTAGTAGATATTATACAATTTTAATATGAACTATCTAACCTTAATTACACAGAAATAAAGATATTCTCATGCAAGCTGTAAGTAAGCTCTACAAAATTTTTTATGATAGAAATCACTATAATTCAAATATGAACTAACTCAACCTTAATTATATAGAAATCATAATGACTCTTGATTATATAAGAATTATAATTATAATATCTATACAAACTAAAACAATCATATAATAACAAAATGGTAAGTAAGTTCTGTAACCAAATTTTTTATAGTAGAAATTACAATAATTTAAATGAATTCTGATACAAACTAAGTTAATCTTATTTACATAGAAATTATAATAATTCTAATACAATTAGCTAAACCTCAGTTATCTAGAAATCATAATAATTAAGATACAAGCTAAACAATTTTGGCCATATGTTGTGGTTATTAAGATAGTGTATAAGTTGTAATAGAATTTTTTATAGTAAATCATAGTAATTCTGATTCATCTAATTCAATATTAATATTTTTTAATTTAGATTTAGTTGAATCAATAAATTTTGAAATTTTTTTCATCTGTGAGTCTCTTGTATATTTTGAAATTTATATATTATATGTACTAGTCTTGCACAGCAATATGCTATCATTATTAATATTATAATAACTTGATTGTTATCTATTTGTTTTTTAAATAGATTTTTGCTCTACAAAAAAAAAAGTTCAGATTATTTTATTTTTATTTTTTTAACAGCACTGCCTCTTTATTACTCAGTTAGTGGAATGCATATGCATTATTTTTATATTGAATTTCAGTACATTATTAGCAAATTATTTCTAACTAGTATCTGTTAAGCCACCTTTTGAGGTGTTACCATAACCCAATCTGTATTTCAAGCTACAACTTTTCTAATTAGTTTTTTCTTACTGCAAATATTCCAGGTCCCTTCTTCTGTGGTGTTATAGTTTCCAATTTCCAAATTAACCACCCAGGTGAGATATACTAAGTCTAAGCACAATATAGTCATATCAACTCCTATTTATTTCACCATTGGTCAACATATTCCATAAAGTTTGGTTACTCCAATGCTGGATACCTCCAGATTATTGGATAGTGGAATATTCTTATTTTTTTTTATTTATTTTTTTTTAATATTGAGGTGACCACTTAGGCCCCTGGCACTTTATTAGTTCAAATGGGTGAGCCGTCCAAAGACTGGCTTACATATTACATCAGTATAACGAGAGTACAACTAGTCACACGTACAACTTTTGGTTGCC